TATATTATGGGATTCTCCCCCAAACTCCCACCCCCCAACAGATTCTTCCCATATTGTTGCAATAGTGTAGTCCTTCATAAGGAATCATAGTTGTATCAGTCCCTTATTTAAGTGTACCCCGACATTGTTGTAAACTCCTAGTTCAGTCTGACCTGCTCCTGGGTGCTGTTGGCATTAGACGAATGATCCTGCACCTGGAAAGTATCTCTACTCTGTTTCTGTTTTTCTACCTTTAAGTAAAACAAACAAAAAATAATAATCTAACAAATATGACAATTGCTTTGATGGCAACATTGAAAACTGTGCATAACTTTCATAATACACATTTTCAAGAAACACACTTTGTATAACCTCTTTGAAGTTATCTCATAATAGTATATTCTTATTCCTAATTTATGGCAGGAAAAAATAAACTGAATAGATTGTACCTGCAGATGATGAAATATGCATATAGCAAACTGGTTTGTGCCGTATATTATTTATGTAGTTAGTTCTATATGTTAAAATGTTACATACAATATCTATGAATACATATTACTCTTTGCTAAAACATGAATACAGTATTACACATAAAGTATCAATTCTCAATTTTAGCAGTTTTCCTTACAGAAAATTATTTTTAAATCAGTAGCACAGAATTTTAGCATACTATTTGCTAAAAATTCAAATGCAAATACAAAAAGGAAAGAAACTTAATGTGACATATACAAAGTGCCACTTACATTACATCATGTGTAATAGATATGAACTACTTCAATACAAATATATATAAAATGAAAGTGTAATATCTGAAATTATTTCTAAAGTCAACATGGTAGTGAATCTAACTACATGCTCTATGCATAATTTTGCTTCACTACAAAAAGAGCTTTTTATTTATGACATATCTGAGAATACAATTAGAATGTCACTTAATATTAACAAAAAAGGCAAAACTAAAAGAGAAAATTATGTTAAAAAGGGAACTAATAAAGGGGGACAGATGAAGGAAGAAAAAAAGGAAGAAGGAACGAAGTAAAGATATACAGAGGAAGGAAAGAGAAAAGGAGACAGTTCTATTTTACCAAGGACTCAGTGTTATTCCTATTTCCCATCTGGATAATGATTGTGGATACATGATTTACTCTGCCTAATGAAATATGAATTAAAGTGACTTGCATCATTTCTTAACCTTTCCTAATCTAGCTTGGCATGAACTGGCAATTTGCTTTCATTTGTAATTATTGGCTCTTAGCCTTTTCCATTGCAAACAATAAAGATATTGTTTAATTTTCCCTCGTCAGTAAATTCACCGTGACCTCATGTTGACTTTTTTATTCTTTGAAAATGAGATTGTATTTCTAGCTGGAAGGTCTTGGATATTTTTTCCCCAGTGAAATTCATTAATACCACCATCGTAAAGATTAGACACAGGGAGAAGATTTGCAGGGGGGAAAGGGGTGGGAGTTGTTTTTGTGCTTTTGTTAGATTTTATAAAACTGTGCTTGAGTGTTAAGCTTTTAGTCTCTTCCAGGCAGGAAGCTTAACCCCTTGTAGGATAGGAAAAATGGCACTTGGGTATGATTTGACCTCTTTATTATGACTGGCTACAGTTTTGGAGCCTGGATTGTAGGCAAGTGTTTATTTTTCTGGTTTTATTTTGTTACTTTTATTTTTTGTACAGATAACTTTTTTTCTGAAATGGGAAATGTGATTGCTGCACAATCAACCCTTCTAGTCCAGAAAAAGATTCAAGAAAAGAAACACACACACACACACACACACACACACACACACACACACACACACACACAGATTTAGCCATGTTCTTCCTACATTGTTTCCTCCAACTACAGTGGAAAAATCATGACCTCCATCATCAGCTCTTATTCTACACATCTGTTTATTCGATTTAAATATCTTCGATATGGACTGATATTGTGAACATATGTGAAATCTTATTTTCCTTTCAATTAAATTTTATCTTGTTGATACTTATAGGGACTTTTATTTTCACTTGACTTTTCAAGCAAGACAAATAGTTTTACTTTTGCTTGGAAATAATGCCATTTTGATTAAGATTTCATCTTCTACAGGTAGAATGCATAGAGTTCTAACCCTGTTTCTTGGTTTCAAGATAATTATTAAACACTGCAGTTTGGTTATATTGTTTGTGAAATGGGGAGTGAGCATAGTATCTTATCTATGATATAATTTAAAAATTATATATGCATCTTCACAATCTGAGCTTATAAGTTTGTATCATATCACATGGCTATTATTGCTTGTTTTTAAGCTATGATCAGTTCTCAAATTCTTGGCCTCATTCTTAGTGTACTTTGTCAATACTAAACCTCCAAATAGTGCTATATTTGAATATTAGCTAATTTTATCATTGAAAAAAACAACATTCATAGAATTCAATTCATTTTCCCTAATTCTATAGACAGAAGGTAAACCAACTAGGACCCAAACCTAACACTGTCAATTTTTCCACACTCAAAATCATGATTTAGTGCATGACATTGCCCTTTGCAATATTCAGATGCATTGATGAGTTTTTGCTTACATTCAGTAAAATTTTGTCCTTTTCACATATACCAGGCACATTGGAGACTGATATGGCGAAATAGACAAAATTATTATAGGAATCTTTCACAATAGCAAATATATTAATTTTAAGTTTCTTAAAATGATGTAATTAGTTTCAAAGTCTGAAGATATCAAATTGAACATGTATCGACTTTAAGTATTACATTACAAAGAAATGTGAGTTTTCTTTTTTAATGGAAGTTCTCTGAACTACTAAATGATTCCACAAGCTTGTTCCAAACTATTCAAACTGCTGTCATCTGTTTGTGTGTGTGGTGTATTTACACACACACGTGTGTGTGTGTGTGTGAGAGAGAGAGAGAGGGGGGGAGAGAGAAACAGAGAGAGACCAAGAGAAAAGCAAGCAGAAAGAAGTGAGAACAGAGTAAAAATTCTTTAACATGGTGAATCTCTACTGGAATCTGAATGTGTCAATTCTTTGTTGACTCTTAGTCACATCCAAGCTATCATAAATCTAAATATTCCTCATCAAATTGATGTAAGTTACATACTGTCCTATGTCTGCTGCTGTAAAGTAGATGTAATACTTGATAACATATGGAACTCATTGTATACTCTGAAACAGACACTGGTGAGCAAACTTTGTCCAAAAAGGAACAAATAGTAAACATTTCAGGCTTGGAGGGCTGTGTGATCCGTTATAGCTACTCAATTCTGCCACTATAGCAAGAAAATAGTCATAGATCATGTGTAAGCATGACTGTTTTCCTCTAACAAATTTTGAAAATATAAACCGTTTTTCAGATGTGACATTTAAGCTTTTGTTAACCAGCCACCTAATGAAATGAGCAAATATGCAATACTCACCTAGTTTTCTTATGGTGTCCCTTATTTCTACAATTTATAAAGCATTTTATTTGGAATTTTTTTTTAGTATTTAAATATCTTGAAAATCATATCCTATAACCACGCTTATAAATTTTAAAGACAAAGACATTCTTTGGAGTTTCCTTAAATACACACACATGCACAAAAAAGAAAAAAGAAGAAAAGAAAGCAATAACTTTTTGGATTCTTTCTTACTCCTTTAAAGATTTATTTATTTTAGTACAAAATTAGAGTTACAGGGAGAGAGAGAGAAACTGAGAGAGAAAAAGAGATATCTTCTGAATAATTGCAATGGCCAGAGTTAGGTCGATCCAAAGCTGGGAGCCAGGAGCTACTTCTGGGTCACCAACATGTGTGCAGGTGTCCAACATTGTGAGCCATCCTTACACTGCTTTTACAGGCAGTTATGAGGGAGATCAGAAATGCAGCAGTCAGGACTTGAACCAGCACTCAGATAGGGTTGCAGGCGCCACAAAGGGAGGATTTGGCACTGCTCTGGCCGTCCTGCTTCCCCCTTTCCTTTTCTCCCTCCAGCTCTCTCTCCATCAGAGGTTGTCTCTGATGCAGAGTGTCATGGTTGTTAGCACAGAGGTTTTAAATTAAATATATATAATACCCTCTATTAGCCTTTGTTGTCCTATTTTGAAGTCTTTGTTTCTATCCTTGACAATAATAATTTGTGCTTTATCTGATAACAAACATTACAATGCCATTTATTTTTCAAACAGACTGTCAGCTTACCAAAGGCTTTATTCTTTTGGGTTATTTTGTTACCTGTGGAAAAATAACTGTCAGTTTTGCAAGAATCAATATATTCCCGAACTACTTGAGAATGTGGGCAACTGATCACTAAATTGCACTACCATCCCCCCAAGAAAGGGAATTATGTGGAGAAAATCACCAAGTTTTAAAAATAATTAGCTGCTTCATTATAGAAAAATAAATATGGAACTTTGTGTCACTCAAGAAGGTCAGGTTTAATATGAGGACAACCATTTAAAATTGGAGAGCACAATGATACCAAAAATGTAAGGCCTAAGTTAAATACACGAATTCCGTTGGAATCTATCCTGTGTCAAAACTTCTGTGGCAAAATTAAATTATCTGTTTGAAATCATGTGGTTTTTAAAAAGTTTTACATAAAAGGGGTGTTTCTGAAATAACATATTTAATGCTAAAAGTTGCAATCTCATTAAGAAAATTGCCTGTGAGAAAATGACTGGAATTAATACTTGTCCTATAATGTTAAGGTGTGCTAATTAAATATGTAAAACCCAAAATATTGACATAACTACTTTTCTTGATAAAGTTGTAAATAGCATTCACTGACTAGAAACACATATTTTACATAAAATGATTTCTATTCATTTGTTTTTCATATTACCAGTCCTAAAAATTGTTCCATATTTTCTTTAAACTTTATTTCTATGTATTGAAACTTCAAAGATAAAATTTGGAAATTATTTAAAAACATAAGTAAATAGAATTTTTATTAACCAACTTGTGATTCTTTTCTTTTTAACTTTATGGTTTGTTTTTTTTCACAAATAGGACTTTTTATTTGTCATGATTAAAAAGTCTAATTTTAAACAGATTCTTGGACTGGAGGTTCATAGCCATCAGCTCGTTCCACTTTCGCACCCGTCTCATCCCCAGTGGCTTTTCCAGAACTGCTACCTTCACCATGAAGCTCCATGAGTTTTCCCAATTCAAACTTGGGCTTCTTCAGCATTTTCACTTTTCTAACGAAGACATCGTGGAGAGGATAAATAGACTGGCAAGCCTTTTCTATGTCTTTTCCAATGCTGTCTCGAATCAGTTTGTTGACTACTTCTTTCAGGTCATTTGTTTGCACCTCCCGGGTCATGATTTCCATCATCTTCTTCCGGATCTGGCGGACCTGCTGGTGCTGAGCATACGACGTCTTCCGGATCTGATTGTTGCGTTTCTTAGTAAAACCAACGCAGAACAGGCGCAGCAAGTAGCCGTCGGTAGTCTTGACATCAACATGAGCCTCAATCATGGTCTGCCACTTTTTGACCATGGAGCACATCTTGTCCCGGGTGAGGTCCATGCCGTGGAAGTTGGTGAGGCAGTTTTTGCCCTGGACGTCCTCGGTGATGAGCTTGAACTTGCGAAAGGCCACTTCATCATTCTGCAGGTCGGCGAGGCTCACCTCGAAGATGCGGCCCTTGAGGCCGTGGGAGGCGATTTTGGTTCCTTGGGTCCTCGTGACCAGGGTCTTCCCAATATTCCTAATGTTGAACATGGCTGGTGCTTTCACGTCATACCAGTTTTTTAAGACTTTTTTCCTGAATTAGTAATAAAATATGACAGAAACAAAGGTATATCTGATTAGGAGAAAAATAAGTATTATAGCTGATAAGTGATTTTTAATTTTAACATCATTTGTGGTTACAGAGAAATTCTGTTTGTTTGGAAGCCATTTATGCATCTGGAAGGATAGTGAAGTTACATATCCACAGCTAGATTTTTCCTGCCTCTTTATCTGAGCTGGGACAGCTCATTTCATCCTGCCTTTTAATCAGAATTAAAGCCTTTTGGTTCTTTAGATTTCGACTGAATAATACCACCTGCTCTATTAGCAGCATCTAGCAGCTGACAGTCAGAGGACATTCTCAGCCTCCACAATTGTACAAGCCATAGTCTGTCTCTCTCTCTGCATTTGTCTGTGTCTCTCTGGATAAGAGGTAGCAGAGATACAGATTAATATGTACATATTCACACACAAAGGTGAGTTTCATGGAGCTTCTTCAATCTACTCACTAACTTTTATCCCAAATAATCTTACAATTAATATTTCTACATAATTATCTCATTAGCTCAAAATTTTAGCTGGTTTAAACATACGAAGAGAGAAGACCTGAATAAATATACATAAAATAAGGGCCTTAAAAATGGGTATTTCAGAAGCTTAAACAATCACCAGGAACTGTTATGAATAATTTTTTCATATCTAATTGGATAATCTAGACAAAATGGATGGGTTCCTAGAAATGCACAACCTACCAAGACTGGGTTAACAATGAATAAAAAGTTCAAAGTTATAAATTAAATTAAGTAGGAAAAATTTCTCCCAATAAAGAAAATTCTGGGATAAGATGGAGATGATTTTATGACTAAATTTTACCAAACATTCAAGGAATAGATGAAAATCTTCCAAAAATGAAACAAATAGTACAAATGCACAGCCAGTCTGAGTCTACCGTTATACTGACAAAACCAAAGATATCAACACAGAATATCTTAGGTGAACCTAACTATAAGAATCTTTTAAAAAAATGAATATCCACCTTTTTTTAAATAACCTATTTTAAACTTATAGTCAAAGGACTAAAGGCCCTCTTAAATAGTTTCAAACAAAGGAAAAGTAAAGTGATATATATATCTCTGTCTGTATCTATAGAGAGATAAATCATTGAAAATGCAAGTCAATGCAATTCAAAAGTGCATAAAAATATTATACACCCTAACAAAATGATTTATTCATGAGAAATGAGATTTGTTTCACATATGCAAATGAATGTATTTGATACACCACATTAAAACAAAGTAATTATAGAAGTAGTAGCAAGAGCAAGTAGCAAAAACTGTCCGAATTAGAAAAAAAGGAGCAATATTTCCACAAATAAGTGCATTGTAAATGCACACGGTGGAAAAACACTTGAATAAGGAGGAAATGAGAGAGAGACACACACACACGCACAAACTGTAGGATACACAGACACAGAGAATAGCAACTAATAATTTAATTCAAAAAACAATACGAAAATCACATGCAAAATGTTTCTTTAAGCACTCTGAAGAAAATTTTTAAAAATCATAATTGATAACTAATAAAATTTTAGAAATAGATCTAAATAAGAAGTTGGGATATTTCTGTCATATTAATTATAAAAGCATTAAGAGTGTAAAATTTTGATAGGGGAAATTAAAGAAAACAAAAAATAAAAGCACCCATAATGTTTGTGAATTGGGAAAATTTAAACAGCTATAATGTCCGTATTATACGAAGTGACACACAGATACACAAGAATCCCTATCAGAATTGCAACACTGCTTTTTCCATGAAGATCTGAATAGTGAGAAGTTTTGAGAAATAAAAAGAAATTTGTCGGCATGAAGCTTACAGGAGAAAAAACTTGAGTGCTTTGAATAAAAATGGGGATTTCTATGTTGAATCATGGCAGAAATATAGAAAAAAAAAAAACTGTGGAAGCAGACCAGAATTTAGAAATCAAAGGTTACCTTATTCGATAACTTTGGTAGGTAGGCTCCAACTTTGTCCTGGGTTTATATTCCCAAACTCACCAAAGGGGTTTCTTTGACCATTATAAAGTTCTGGGAGGAATTTAAGGAACTGAAGGCTCAGAATTATCCAGAAGGCATGTGGGAAAGAGAAACAAGAGGTCAAACAGAATTCCTACAAAAGTTCTAAACCTGGATTTCACATTGTTGCACAGGTTAAGCCACTTCTGGTGATGTAGATTTAGATCTTGCCTATATCAAAACTGGAGTTCAAGTTTTGAAGTAAAAATTATAAATTTGTAACCATGAACATACCTTCCAGTTTCACCATTAAAAACTACTATTAAGAGAGACCAACACAATGGCTAAATTGGTTAATCCTTCAAGTGCAAGGATCCCCTATGGATACCAGTTCATGCCCTCCGGCTCCACTTCCAAACCAGCTCCCTGCTTGTGGTCTGGGATAGCCAGTAAGGGATGGCCCAAAGCCTTGGGACCCAGTAGGAGATGCAGAAGAAGCTCCTGGCTCCTGGCTTTGGATAGGCTCAGCTCTGGACATTGTGGCTACTAGGCAGTGAACCTGCAGATGGATGCTCTTTCTCTCTGTATTTCCTTCTCTCTGTAAATCAGTCTTTCCAATAAAAAAATGATAAGCCTTTAAAAAGTTCTGTTGTGAAAATGGATGTCTCATGATTCTCATGTATGGATTAGGAAAACCCAGATCATGAAACTTAAGTTCTTATCTGTGGTATAAGATAAAAACAATTCAAAAACACAGTAAGGTAACATATAGATTGGCTGAAATAAAAAAGAGAGTAACAAATGCTATCAAGGGTGTAGAGAAAGGTGAATGCTCAACACTGTCAGTGGGAATCTTAATTAGTGCCAATGTGGAAAACAGTATAGAGATTTCTTAGGAAAAAAAAAATTCAAATAGTATTAACAGAATTGTTATGGTCCAAAACATAAACCCAGATTTCTATCAGTCTTTTCTTATTAAACATTTTACTTAGTCTTTATATAAACCCATTCAATAATGTCCCAACCTTTCCCTAATTCAAACCCCTCTGTTTCCCCTATATTATTATAATAGGATAGTTCTTCATAAACAGTCAAAAGTCCATCATTCTGCTATTTAAGCATATCTTGACATTGTAGGTATGCACCATGGCAGAAAGTCCAGCATCCTAATGTCAGGATATAGTTACAGTTAAATTTGGTGTCCGTCATTGACTTGGAATTAATCTAGTGTAATATAAATGATAATACAGCTTTGTATTAACTTGATGTGATGTCTAACAATGCCACAGATTAGTTGGTTTTAACAACAAAATTTTATCTTATTACATTTTTCAAGACTAGTAGTCCAAAACCAAGCATTGGTAGTTTTCTCCTATGATTTCTGTCTCTTCTTACATCTCCTCATGAGATCCATATTCCACTCACTGGATTACTTCCCAAGGGAGGCCTGGCAGTAACAGCCAAGGCTGTACTAGGCTGAAGAGAGGAGTCAAGTTTCAATCTGTTCTTCCACATCAGTGGCAGGGGCCCCAGTTCCTGACTAAAATACGCTGCCAGCACAGGGGCGTTAAGCAAGAATTTGAATGGGAAGTGGACCACTTAGTGTTAAAACCCATGCTCCACAATTGGATTCCAGCCTTATGTGACACAACTTAAACCATTCCACCACAATGCTAGCACCCTTCCCATAATTTATATTTCTGTGGTTATAATTTATGTTTTATTTTAAAATATATTACAGAGACGTTATTCAGAATACATTCCTCACATTGATTTAAAGTGTGACTATAATTCTTTTTTTTTTTTATTCTTTTTTTTTTGTTGTTGTTGCTTACATTGTATTATGTAGTACAGTTTTATAGGCACTGGGGATTCCCCCCACCCCTACCATACCCCTCCCCCCATGGTGGATTCCTCCACCTTGTTGCATAACCATAGTTCAAGTTCAGTTGAGATTCATTGCTTGCAAACACTTGCCTAGCATAAAGTTCAGCGTCTTATTGTCCAGATAAGTTCAGTGGCCTCTTGGGGAGACCTTCTATGGTCTGAAGATAGGTCTAACAGAGTAAAGATCCGGTCAGTTAAAAGCCCCAACAAGGCCTCAGTATCAATATACAACATTATGGAATTAGTTGGCATAGTATTGGGTAAACAATATGTTAAAAATAATGCAAGTTCCCTTCTTCGAAACATCTGGGTTGAGACAGTATCAATGACAGGTTCAAAAAATAACAAACAACCAAACAAAAAATTACAGGTTAAATCAAGGCAAACATGTGGTATCTAATCTTTTGGGATTCGCTCATTTCCCTTAGCATTATAGTTTCCAGTTGTGCCCATTTAGCCACAAAGAACTGCATTTTGTTTTTTTTAATAGCTGAGTAGTATTCCATGGAGTAGATGAACCAAAGCTTTCTTATCCAATCTTCTGCTGATGGGCATTTCGGTTGCTTCCATGTTTTTGCAATTACTGATTGTGCTGCAATGAACATAGGGATGCATGTTGGTTGGTCGTAAAACAGGTGTTTTGGATATATTCCTAGGAGTGCTATTGCTGGGTCATATGGTATGCAGATTTTGAGTTGTTTGAGTGTTCTCCAGACTGATTTCCATAAAGGCTGTACCAATTTGCAGCTCCACCAGCAGTGGAGTAGGGTTCCCTTTTCCCCGCATCCTCGCCAGCAAGCGTCGTTGGTGTTTTTGTTTATGTGGGCCAATCTTACTGGTGTTAGGTGGTACCTCATCGATGTTTTAATTTGGATTTCCCTTAATTCTTTGTGAACCTCTTAACATATTTTTGCTAACTATTTAAATGAAAATTAGATAAAATGGTTCTAAAATTAATTTGAAAGTACAAAGAGAGTGGAGATAATTTTGACAATGATTAAGATGGTAGGGAGGGGGAAGACACTTAATGTAGTAAATAGGTGGCCTCTGGGGACACCACATAGGTGTGCCTGCTTTTAGTTTGGCTCTTCTGCTTCAGACACTGTGTATCCTGAGAA